TATTTAATTTTAAATTATTTAAAGCTAAAAAAGTACTGTAATATTAGATGTTACAGATTATAACAGAAATATTGGTGACAAGTTACAACTGACATGCATGGTAAACATGATTTTGTTAAGATCTTATGCATGCAAAAATGAAAACATTAAAGATAGAAAAAATACGGTGTGAGAAACTAAGCGAAAGATTTTACAGAAAATCAGGTGATAGGAATTTATAGATTGCTTGACCGTTTTGTTTTTCATTTTATGTTTTTGTTATTAGCTTTATTATTTGTAGAATGTGTACAACCTTAATTCGTTCTTCATTAGTCTTGTTTGCTGGTTGTACTTAATCATGTTTGATAAAAAATTGTAACCCATTTTGTAATTAAATAATTCTTGTATTATGTTTCAAATAATATTTAAAATTTCACATTTCAAGCATTTTTTTGTTTTTTAATTATTATTTAATTAGCTATCTTGTTTTAATCAAGTAAAAAACGGTATCATCAGAAGCTACATAGCTGACGATATTTTCATAGACGAAACGTAGTAAAAATTACAGTTAAAAATCCAGGTCCGTATTTAAAAAAATAAGTTAAAGGTGGCCCTGGGAATACGAAACGTCGTAATAAAAATGTTGACATGGCAGATTATAGGGAACTTGATTTATAACAAAAACTTCGTATAATTTTTTTTGTATCTTTTATAATAACAACGCACGAATTAAAACGAAAATGAGGTTTTTCGGATTTTATCGAATATCTCCGAAACCAGTCAGAAAATCTGGAACTTCTATGGACCATTGTATTATCCGTCAAAATACAAAACTTTTTCCCCATTTAACCGACAATGTATATCTTACGTTTTACGAGATCTTTGTATACGCAAATTAAATCCGGTCCACCCTGTATATCCTAATATACCACAAAGTCATAATGTCAGTGTCGTGTATTGAGTAAAGTATTTTTTGAGCTCATGGAATATAGGCCTGATTTAAGAAATTAAGCCTTAAAAAATTATAGTAGTACTGTAAAGTCGAAAGAATGACTTATCAGTATCAGCTAGATCAGATGAGAACAGTGGTTATCGGTCTAGCAGTCCAAAGACCGGTAGGTCCTCGTCAGGCAGTGGGCTCTCGATAAAAACAAAAAACCAAATACGAAGAAAACCCGTAAGCTTAACTTTTTTGCAGCTCTGACACATTAACTGTTGGCAGTTCAGTTAATCTCCCAGAAATACAAAATGATAAAAACTGCAAACATTTTTTTCATTTTTTCGGCCACTTATGGCGGTTTAACGGAAGATTTACTTTTTAGAGGTTGGCAACAGTTTCGCTAAGGTGATTATATTGGTATTTTCCACCATGTTTCTGATGTCATCTGTTAAAATTTTAGATAAATCTTACAGATAGATTAGTTTTAATACTCATATAAGGAAAACTGTTTTCGTTGTTGGGTAAATATAGAGAAAAAAGAATTTCGAGTGTTAATTAAACATTATTTTTTACGTGGAAAAACAATTAAAGAAACGGAGGAAAAGTTACGTAAATATTATCCTAAAAGTGCTCCTTCCCATGAAATGATTTGTAAGTGGTTATCTGCTTTTAAAAGTGACCATATTAACGTCCGGAGCCGTCATTTACTGTAACTACTCCAGAAATGGTTAATAAAATCCGTGCCCTTGTACTTAACGATCGTCGAATAAGAGTACGTGAGAAGTAAATATTTCAACTGAATGTAATATTGTGCATTAAATTTTACATATGAAAAGCTATCTGCAAGGTGGCTGTCACGTTTGCTTAATGCTGATCAAAAGCTCGCTCGCATTAATAATTCAAACGAATGTTTGGATATCTTCAAACATAATCCAAGTGAATTTTTCCGTCGATATGTAACAGTAGATGGAACTTGAGTACACCATTATACGCCAGAAACAAAATTACAGTCGAAACAAAGGAACGTGCTCCCGAGAAAACAAAAACCGTTTTTTCGGCCAATAAGGACATGGCCACAGTGTTATGTGATTCCAAAGGTGTAATCTTTATTGATTATTTAGAAAAAAGGAAAACGATAACTGGCCACTATTATGGATTTGCTAATACGTTTTGAAGTCGAACTTAACGCCTTCGCTGCTGTATGGGGCATATATGTCCCGTATTGTGATTATCCACGGTGCGACATCATATTCGCTACATCTTCATATGGGGCGATGCCTCCAGTTTTCGTAATGAGATATAAAAATTTTATTTATACCAATATACTTATATTTTTTGGTAATTCATTATTTAGGCAAAAAAACATACCGGACACATTGACACCGTACCGCTTCATATGACAAATTCCTTTCGTAGAGCGGTACGGGGTAAAATTATCCTGAATGTTTTTCAGGTGAATGAGATATTTAAACAACCGATCATAACCCAGGCTGGAACTATGTAACGTTCAAATTTGGCCTTATAGCGGTTTTTCATAAAAATAAGAATATACTAGTTTTGTCCGTGTTTCAATAATTATTTGATGGGTCCTTCTATACCCGCATTTTTAACCACTGCTTTTGGTTCGGTATTCGGAGAGAGCGGTCATTCTGTGACACTCTGGGGAGCATGTGGCTGCCCTGTATTTAAGATGTCGGTCTAGCATTTCCGCTTTGATGTTACGTGCGAGTATATGATCAGTTTGGGGGTAGATAGGACCTCTATTTGAGTTTAGTTAGGCTGTTTATTTCGTTTTAAAGGCTTGTTTGCTTATTTTAGCCCTTCCTGTCAAGAATATATTTCGTGATAAAGGGCGCTGATGGGACACCTATCTGTCACTGAGGTATGTTGGTATTATTGGTTTTTGGAATTTTAAGTGACATTTCTGGATTTTTCGATACGGTTGTTCGACACGAGGTTTTAATTTGAAAGATTGTTTCGAAATTTATTGGAAGTCGTTTCAATCCATTTGGGATATTGCGAAGCAACCTTTTGTGTGAAGTTACAGCAGTGTGGATTTGGTAGTACTTTTTGGTTTCCACATGTTGTAGGAGCTCCTAGGAGGATATATTTAAAACACGTGTTGATTAGTAAGTTTTTTCTTCATAATATTCAAAGTTACGACGTAGTTATTCTTATTGTAAGACCTTCGTTCTTTTATTTTAGTGTGCACATATATACGTAGTCTCTCTGAATAAGCCATCCACAAATTTGTCATTCAATTGATCTGGTGGGTGCATCGTGTTCCCCTTTACGGATTAAAAAAGGGTAATTATGCTTTGATTTTAGTTAGAATGCTTACTTAGACCTAACCCTAGGTTATGTTCTTTTCATTGTATATATTTTCAGTATTTGGGGTTGACTATTAGGGGTAGTATCTTGAAATCTAAGGGTGTAATTTACCTATTAAGTGTAATTGTTGGGTAGAACTCGCTTCACGAGCCGTCTATCTTTTTGCTTTGTAAATCTGAAGATTACCTACATAAATTGATAAGCCGAACTTTAATTAACTAGTAAACGTTGAGTAGTTTTATCTATTTCTAGATCTCGCTTCACGAGAAGGCTATGTAGGTACCTGGTTATTTAATTTTAACTTCTTATTAACCAGGGATAAATAGTTATTACTGTGTTTTATCTTATACGTTTTCTTTAGGGTTCTTGTGGCGGGCACACACACTTCTTGTGACAGGCTGACACTTCTTGTGACGGGCAGTATTCTTGTAACGGGCAGTATTCTTGGTACGAGCCAGTATTCTTGTGACAGGCTGATACTTCTTGTGACGGCTGATTGATTCGTAGGCTGCTAACGAGGCAGAGATATCAACGTCTACTAGAAGAAGTCATTTATTACTATTTAATCTATTTTATTGGGGGGTGTTATTAGTATATATTTTATCTAAACCTAATGTAAACGAGGCTTAGGGGTTTATGGTTCACAGTACAGTTTATTAAACCCGAAACACTTCACCAAGAGCTCTTCGTGGGTTATATATTATTATGGGTAATTAATATTTTAATAAGTAACAGCATTTTACTTGATTTTACCCCTAGCGTCCGTAATTAGTACACTATCATTTGTTTTCTTGATAAATACAGTACACACTTCATGTGTTATAGTTTTACGATTACCCCTAGTCCCATTTAATGGATTACTGGATTACTGTTAATAGTTGGGGAATCTGTTAGTAAGGTACTAAGTGATTTAATTATTTGTTTATTTGTTAAATTTACATACATACATTTCATAGTGGTAACGAAGTTGACCCCCCATGTCAACACGATAAATTTATATTATATTATTAAACTTGGGTATATATTGAATCTAACTTATTATTTATCCCCACTTGCTAACTGTCAACATTTATTCTTATGGTAAAGTACACTTTTAACATTTTTGGAGCATACTCGATTTGTAGCCGCTTGATGGCCTTGTAAAGGAGAGGCTATAGTTTCCTATTTGGAGTTTGGTAGTGAACTGTCACGTGGATTGTTGGATGTGAGGTTAAGCTCCTGGCGCCCACTGAAGAACATAACTTTTACTACGACTCATCCCTTCTTCACTGTAGTTAGTCGGCATCCAACTTTGGATTGACATAAATCCACCTCGGTGCTTAGACACAGAAAGTAGGTAGCAACTACTAGCAACACACACATTTTGTTTGTAATGTGATGGAGTGATGAATGTCCTGGTTATTTATTACCATGCTTTAACGCGGCCCATGCAGCTCAAGCTGAACAGGCATCTTAATTTGTAGTTTTCTTTTTAGTAATAAATTATATTTCTGTATCCAGTCCTCGATATTACATTGAGTTAACTATGTAGTAGGCCTTTTCTGCTACTACGCCCACGATATTTTTAAATATTTAAAAAATAGAAGCAAATAAAATACTGGTACGCTCCCGACTTCCCCATCCAAGTCTCTACTGTCTCTGTCGCCGCTTGGCTATTCATTGTGCTTTTCATGCTACGCCTACGAGGACGGATCTAGGTAAGTATCCGTGTTTATATCTAATATTTTTACCTTTTAGCATCTCTTTTAGCATGGGAAAACATAAGAAAAGAAGAAGTCTATCATCAAGTGATTCAGAGAATCACATTGATGTAAAAACAATTTTAAAACGGCTAAAAAGGCTAGAAAACAATGCAAGGCAACTAAAACGATCTCGGTGGCGCATCCATGTTTCGAGATTACGCCATTCTCGGTCTGCTTCCCCTGCAGGGAGGCTAGCTGGCGCATCGGATGATGAACGATACAAGCGCGGGTCCATGCAGGACCGAGAAGCTACACCTGTTAGCTGGTCTCCAGTGTCGTCGCTGAGGGGCGTTAGCCAGGAACGAATAAATGCATTGTCGTTCTCGGAATTAAGTGAACGGGTTTGTAGCCCGGATCGAAAGGAGGAAGAATTAATCCTTCACAATGATATAGACCTTTCTGAAGAAGTCTTAAGTATTTTGGGATCGAATCCCGAGGAAGCAAAAAATCAAAGTGTTTCACTGCATGATGCACTTATACCAAGATGGCGAAATAATGTCGTTCATGGGCTCCCAAGAGATGAAGCAACCGCATTGCTTCATAAATATTTGGTCCCCTCCAACTTGCCTAATTTGACACCGCCGTCATTGAATCCAGAAATTGTGGCAATTTTAGGAAAAACTAATTTAATCAGGTATGAGTCCCAAAAGGAGTCTCAGTCTCAGGGAAAGGTATATATGTGCGTTAGGTCTACGGCTTAACGTCATATTGAAGGATACAGAAAATATTCCTTCTGAAATTAAGGAGGAACTTTTGACACATCTATCCGATGCGGTAAGATTATTCACCAATTTATTCCATAGACTGACAATGTCGAGAAGGAACTGCATTCTTCTTTTACTGAGCGAAAATATAAAAGAGGTTGTAGAGAAGTCCCATCCTACAGACCTGTTATTCGGAGATAATCTCTCTGAACATGTTAAATCTGCAAAACACATTGTTAGCTTAAGCAAGGCTCTGTGCCCAGCCCCAAAAAACTTAACTGCTGTTAGGAAATGTCAAAAGAAGGAGGGGGGCACAACCTATTAATTTTACGACGACTCCCAGTAGTAATTTAAACTTGACACGCCCGTCCCGTCGCACGGAGGCAATGTGGCCTCAGAAAGGGCGCACCTCGAAACCTTACCTAGAGGAGCAGATGATCAAGGACAGGGGATCACGCCGCTAACGCTATCTCCAGTGAGTAATTTAGACTATGCAGGTCGCCTAAGATTTTTTCATAAGGAATGGCATTATATTACAAATAATCCAAGTATTCACAGCTGGCTGCACGGCTATAATATTCCTTTCACCACAATTCTATTTCAAACTTCTCCTGAGCCCCTCAAAATTTTCAAAAATCGGCACCAACCAAATGTTGTCAGAGATAAAAAATTTGTTAAAAATCGGTGCCATTGAAAGGTGCACATCATCCCCAGATCAATTTATTTCCCATATATTCCTTACGGAAAAATTAAATGGCAGGAAGAGATTTATATTAAATCTAAAACATTTAAATTTTTATGTGGATGCACCACATTTTTTAATGGAGGATGCCAGGTTCAAAAGGGATGTTCGTTGGCTACGCTATACATATTACTTGCTTCCAATCAGCCAAAATCATAAAAAGAAATTGCCCTTTTTCTTTCAGGTTTCTTTTTACCAGTTTTGTTGCCTTCCATTTGGCCTGTCCTCTGCTCCATATACGTTCACGAAACTAATGAAACTTATCACTGAACGCTTACGCTCAAGCGGAATTTCGTACATAAATTACTTGGATGATTTTTTAATCATTGGAGACTTCTTGCAGGATTGCTGAAAAAATATACAACTAGCTATATCCCTCCTAACTTCGTTAGGACTCATAATAAATTTCGAGAAAAGCTCTCTTCAACCTAGTTCTAGATGTTAATTTTTAGGGTTTATATTTGATTCTGAAAAACGTTCCATTTTTATTTTAAGTATTTTGTCAACAGACAATCTAATGTTACTTTGTTTAATTTTGTTAGCCAACTTGCTTAATGAAATATCGTTCTTGATGAAGACTTCATAAATAATATCACACATCTATAAGAATCCGTAGGCGACGTTCGAAACCAGTCAATGTTTAGGAAATCTTTAAACAATTACATAGTTAACTAACTATGTAATTGTTTAAAGATTTCCTTTGTAGCTAGTTGTGATATCGATGACTAGAAGCCGAAATATAATTAAACGATCAATAAAACTTACCTGAAGTTCGATCGTAATTATATGAGGCATCCAGTCCGAAGATATCACAACCCGCCACTCCCAACCCAGATGATTCCTAAACATTGACTTTCGGAACAGGAACTTGCTACTTTAAACAAAATGAATAGCCAAGCGGCGACAGAGACAGTAGAGACATGGATGGGGAAGTCGGGAGCGTACCAGTAGTTTTATTTTATTTGCTTTTCTTTTTTAAATCTTTAGAAATATCGTGTGCGTAGTAGCAGAAAAGGCCTACTACATAGTTAACTCAATGTGATATCTTCGGACTGGATGCCTCATATAATTACGATCGTAAGTTCTTTTGATCGTTTAATTATATTTCTCAGTTCACAGATTTTTATTTTCATAAATCTTCTTCGACGTTGAATGTCTGCGATACGGGACATTGGATCACCGTCCTGCTCACACAGTACATTTGCTGATTCTTTATTATAAAAATTATATTAAAATATATTTATATTTTTAAGTGATATTTCAGTAGATCAAGGTTAAACGCAAACCGCCCAAACCGAAGATCAGGGACGGGACATATAGACCCCCGTAAAGCCCTCAACAAAGTTTTAATTATTGGCTTCCGTAGCGAAGGTGTTAAGAAAAAACGACCGTATTTGTTGAAGAAAAGAGTTTTGTTTCATCACGACAATACACGCTCATTCGTCCGCTATTGTTACAGAAAAATTAGGCAAACTGCGTTACCATTTATTACCTAAACCGCCATATTCACCTGATCTGGCTCCTTCCGATTACTTTCTGTTCCCAAACTTAAATAAATGGCTTGGTGGAAAACGATTTTAGACAAATGAAGAGATAATGGCAGAGACAAACGCGTATTTTGTGAAACTTCTGAAAGATTATTTTTTGGATGATTTGAAAAAATTGGAAACTCGTTGGGCTAAATGTGTAGAGTTAAATGGAGATTATGTTGAAAAATAAAATAGTTTTTACAGTAAAGTAGCTTTTTCATTGAAAAGTCACTCTTCCGTCAAACCGCCCTAAGTTAACTGCCGATCATTCTATCAGTATTGCACAAGAACATACAGATGAAGACCATGAAAACACGTTATGTTAGAACTCTAACAACCATTAACATCCACAACGTAAGTTTCAAACATATGTATATTACTTAAAAATTCCTCGTGAATGTTTAAAATTCTAGTACTTATATAAAACTTCAATATTATAAACAATATTATTTGAAAAAATATGTTATTACTAAAAAACAGTGTTCGTGATAATCAACATTAAAATAATTGTATTGCTAGGAGGGCCCTTCTCTCTCCTGGACCGCTAGGCCTTAGAGGTCCCAATCCGACACTGAATGAGGCTACTATTAAAAATAATGCTGTTATACTTGCATCCCTAGTTCCAACAGTTAATGCTCTAAATGAGCATATTAAGAAGGTTTATTTACAACCAAAGCAATTCGTCAAACTGATTGAGGAACGGTTTAAAAATGAAGATTCGTTCCAATTAAAATGAAAATGTATCAGAAAAAATAATTAAAATTGTATTTTTTATTTGCAAAAAAAAGGTGCCACTTTTGTAAAGCTGGAATTTCATTACGAGCGTTGCTATAAGATATCTTATAGCTAATATATTACAAAACTGACGCTCGTCAATAAAATAAACCGAGTACTTACACGCAAGCTATAACATATTATACGGGGTCCCTACTATTTCATAGGGACCGTATCAATATTTCTTAAACGGTAATAGATAGCAAGTTAAATTAGAAAAAAAATGCGCAGTTTCGTGCACATTAAAATGGTGCTAAGAAACCTTTAATATCTACAGGGAGATTCAAAATATCGGACAAAAATAAATGAATTCAAAGAAATTACCATTTTCATTTTTGTTCCGATATTTTTAATCTCCCTATAAATATCCAAGGTTCCTTAGCACCATTTTAATGTGCACAAATCTGTCCAACCTTTTAAAAGCTTTTTGTTTTTGTTTAGGCCAAATCTTGCAAATGAATTTTAAAACAGTTATCTTCAACAGATTGAGCTGAAATTTTACATATTTATACGTTGTTTGGATGACAGTGCATGGTTAGCTAAGTAACGTCATTCTAAATCCAATATGGCCGACTCCTAAAGATGGCGGACCAGTTATTTCTTATGCATCTCCATGATATGAGTATCAATTAAAAAGGTTTGCTGAGAAAATACGAAAAACAAAATAAAATGACGTCTTTCTTATTTGTAAAGTATTTAAATAAACATTTTTTTACTAATCATTTATGTCTAATTTAACTTTCTGTTACCGTTTAAGAAATAGCAATAATGTCTCTATGAAGTAATAAGGACCCTACCCTGTATATCTTACAGCTTGAAGAGTTGAGACATTATAATGTATAATAATTTATGTAATAAATTAATATAAAATACATTTTTTATACAGTTTCAACCCCTAAAAATAAAAAAGTCCATCAGGAATATAAAACTATTGAAGATAAGGGTAAGACACGCTTAATTACAATTTTTCATCCAAAACGGCGTAGTCCGAAAGAATTCTGAGGCAATAGCCTATTTTTACCATGAAACACTGGACTACATCTCATATACTTCATTTCGAAGAAACTCCCACAATGTATTTAGGCAATAATAAACAGCAGAAAACATATCTGTAGCCGTCCTAACTAAATAACGTCAATGTTCACTTTCAAAATGTTTAATTATTCTTTTATAGCCACCCCGCTTCTGTATCGCTCTGGATAAAAGTGATTAAAGTCAAGAATAAATCAAAATACGCTTTTGTCAATCCAAACGATTGTGAACCAACCAGGAAACTGTTAAAAGACAATCGCAAAAAATAAATCAAATTCAATACGTAAAAGAAATATTCTTCTAAACCTTATAATAGTTGTGAAATGCGCCAGGCCGCTTTTACACGATCCTTTTACTGAAGATGAATATCAGCTATTGAGTAGTTCAACTGAAACGAGTAAATGTGTTTTAAAATTCAATTCAGGTGACAGTAAAACGTATTATATGTAAAAGCGGCATTTAGGGGATAATTTTTACTGTTTATCCTATTTCAATAAAATAATGTTTTCTTTTTACGTGTTATTCTTTATACCTGTACCTTATTCCTTATAAAGTATGGACCTCAATAATAGTCCGCCCTGCTACCGATTGAATGGGTTAATACACTAATCTAAACTAAAAAGGAGACACGATTTATATGTGGCACCAACTACAAGATAAAATTCGGTATGACTTTGAGTCTACTTTAGCTTGAAAAGTTAAAAGTACTTCTTGTCTAGGTTGATGTTCTTTCAAGATAACTTTCAAAGCGTCTTTGGTTGATCTGATCATCTGTTCTCAGGCTCCACCCATGTGTGGACTCGCAGGTGATATAAATTTTCAGTCAATTTGTATTGTATATAAACGTCAATTTACTAAGTTTACATCAAATTTTTGTATTGCCTCTTTTAATTCCTTTTCTCCTGAAATTAGATTAATACCATTATCACTCCAGATAGTGTCTGGTAGAACTCTTCTGGAGATGAAACGTCTAATAGTTAAGATAGTAGAGTCAATATTAAGTGTTTCAGGCAGTTCTATATGAATTGCTCGTGTTGACAAACAAGTAAATAGGACTCCATATTTCTTCTCCTTTTTCTTCCTGTGCTAACTGTCATAGGTCCAAAATAACCCATACCCACAAAAGTAAACGGTCTAACTGGTTTTGTTATTCTCACATTAGGAAGTTGGCCCATTTCTGGGATTTGCGATTTTGCTCTCTTTAGTTTGCAGAAATAACAGCAACTTAAAACTTTTGTTACCAATTTTCTTGCTTGTATTTGAATTTCTTCCGTAATTCGCTTAATGTAAATTGTATACCAAAATGCAAGTTCTTTCTATGAGAATAGGACACTAGAAGTTTAGTAAACAAATGCTTAATACTCAATATTATGGGGCTGTTTGTCTTGTACGTTAAATCTGAAGCATTATCTATTTTTACTCTTAAACATAATAAGCCGTCTTCTATATAGGATTATAATTTGAAAAGTTTATTACCTTTAGGTGCTTGTTTATAATTGTTCAAGTAATGTAATGTTTCATAAAACAATCTTGTTTCACTTTCTTACACTATATTACTTTTGCTCCTCCTTGGTCAGTGTAGGACTTCGTGCCATTTCTTTTTTTATTTTTGCTATAAATTTCAGGACATATGCTGTTGATCTTAATATTTTCACATAACATGAAGATCTTTCTACATCTGAAAAGTATTCTATGGTCTCTTTTTTAGTTACTAAAACATATTTTTCTTTTAATTCTAGCATATCATTTCTATCTTCAGAGTATACTTCTAGATTTTGATTTAGCCAGGTTTTTGTGATATGAATTAAAAATTCAGTTTCTTAAAACCATCTACCTTGAATACCTAAATCTCGATTTCGTTTGTCTCTCGATCAAATTTGTTGGAATCTAATGCCAACTATCTAGACTAGAGTTTTCTTGAATTTCTCTTATTCTTTGTGATACAAAAGGTTTAAACTTCCTTGCATCAGATTTTATCCAATACAAAACTATTCTAGAATCCGTCCAAAGGTATATTTTGGAAATTGTTAAAGAATGTTCTTTTACTATAGTATTTGCAAGACGTGAACCCAAAACTGTGACTTGTAATTCTAGATGAGGTATTGTAATTGACTTTAATGGTGTTACTTGTGCCCTAGACATAACAAAGGATACTTTAATTTCATTATTCTTCTCGAAACGCAAATATCCTATTGCTGCAAAGGCTTTTTCACTTGCGTCGAAAAATATGTGCAGTTGGACTATGCTATCTCCTTCAAAAGTTTTATTATAGCATCTCGGAAGTTTGAGTCTTTTAATTTGTTGCCAATTTCGTATTCATCTTCTCTATTTTTGATTTTGGTCTATTATTGTGATCTTATCGTCCCATTTTAGTCCACTCCTCCAGATCTCTTGCAATAGTATTTTTGCTTTAACGGTATGATGACATAATGGTCCTAAAGGATCAAACAATGACAGTATAACTCTCAACATCTCCCGTTTTGTAGGAAGTCCTTTTCCGTTTAAAATATCTTTATCTATTTTACTAAATATGAAGCAATCTTCTAATGGGATCCGTTTTAAACCCAAAATAATTTGATCTCTCTCTCTCTCTCTCTTTGTCGTCTAAAATCTTACTATCTCCTCTGAGGTTATCTAGATATAGTGTATAGATAGTCATCCATATAATGTCTATTTATTATGCTTTCCACGGCTCGGTGAATTGGTCTTTTTCATATATTGTGCACAAAAGGGAGAAGATACTGCCAAATATCATTACTTGCATCTTGTATGTGCTTGGCGTTTCTTCCATATTGTCTCTCCATAAGAACATCTATCCATTTCTGTCTTCTCTTCTAATCTCTACTTGATGGAACATTTCTTTATTATCTGCAGAAAATGCAATTTTTCATTCTCTAAATTTCCAAATTATTCCTACTAGAGAGTTTAACAGATTCGGTGCTCTCATCAAGAAGTCGTTTAAACTTTTTCCTTCCACTTTTGCTTTTGCGTCGAATACAAACCTCAATTTTCCCAGTTTATTTTCATTTGTCACACCAAAGTGAGGTAAGTATCATACCTTTTCTATTGCTTCTTCCACTAATTGTTTATCTATTTTTACTGCAAAACTTTTTTCTACATACTCTTCAATTTTTTTTCTTATACTGCTCTGAAAATTTAGAATCAGTGGTCATTTTTCTTTCTATATATTTCAGTCTTTAAAAGGCCATTAATTTGATATCAAGCAACCCTCCGATTCCTTCTTTACAAAATAAACCGGTTTGTTTCTGAACGTTTCTTGTTTCCTTTTCTGCGTGTAACTCGTTTTATTATATCTACTGCTTTTTTTCTTCCGAGTTAAACATTTTTTCTTTCGTGTAAATTTTAACGCTGAAGGCTTCAATGGAGAAGACATTTTTAACCTGTTCATGTAAGTCTATTTCTAGGTTATTTTCCCAAGAAATATGTAATATTGTATTATCCACTTCACCTCTAGTTTGTCTTAAATTTCCATGAACCACCCAACCTAACTTAGTGCGTGACAATGTTGGAGAGTTCTTTGGACATTCTATTAATTCTCTACTTGCAATTAACTCCCAGTTATCCTGGCCTTTTAAAAGCTTCGGTTGCAAATTTGGTATATTTTAAATTCTACCTTTCTAAGGTGTATTCATTTATCATTTATCCTTTTTGCAATTACTAATTGTATTGGTAAGTATATACAATTTCTATTGGGAAAAACGCATTTCTATCTTTATCTCCTACTTCAAATTTCATCTGTTTTCACTGTATCCTCTTGCATTTAAGACCTAGGCTAGTTTATTGTAGAAGCTTCATCAAATAGAGCATATGTTTTTTCTTCTGTATTCGGTGTTTTCATAATTACTGGTGTGATACGTAATACAATTTCAGAACTGTAAGTCCCTAATGTATGGGCAACGTCCCTAATGTATGGGCAACGACTTCTTGTGAAGAAGCTTCGCCATTCACATCTGTTTTATTTGTTTTTACATTATGAAGACATCGGTGGTTCAATTTTTCACAATTTTCAATGCCACATTTTCCATTTGAACGACATTGTTATATTCGATGATTTGTTTTAAAACAAGAGAAGCATATGTTTCGATCTTTAATAAATTTCCATCTCTCTTCTATTGTTAATTCTAAATAATTTTGACATTTTTCCAAAAAAATGTCTTTCTGTGCATTTTAAAGATGAGAATTTTGAGCAGTAACTAAAGTAGTCTTATACTTCTCTTTATAGTATGGTGGTTCATCACTAGCGGCTGCTTGTGTCTTACCAGTAGAAGATAGGTAACTAGCGCTTCTGTCTTGTCACATATCCATTGACTAAACTGTCTTAGGGAACAATATCTGTTTTCTTTTGCTAACTTTTCTCCCCATGATAATTGCAAATTCATTGGTAGTTTCTGAAATAATTCATCCATTAGCTGTGACATCCAAAGTAATCTTTCAGTTGCATCGTGTCGAAAGTGATATAGAGGTTGGTTACTTCTTCTGAAAAATTAGTTAAATATTTGTAATCGTTGTACTTTATAATGGACAAATTTTTTCCATATTTTCTTTTTTATATGTGGATAACTTCACTTATCGATTCAGTAAAATATAATAAACCTTCAACTGATCTTATTATTTTCTTCATCGGACACCAATGAAAACCAGTAAATCTTTTTCTATAATTTGTCGAGCCAAAAGTTGTTTGATATGAATGTTTGGAATCAACTCTTTACAGTACCTTTTTTCATTTTCAAAATATCTTTCAGAATGACGTGTATGTTGTGGCGAATCGACAAGTCTCTTACCTAAATTTTTTTTATATACGTCTGGCATTGATCTAATTTTATTAAGCCAGGTACCAACCTTATCTTGTAGATCCACACTAGATAAACCTTTATTTCTATAATCATCTGCGACTTCATCTACCACCACGAAATCGGTGCTTGCCAAAATTCTTTCTTTTCCTAATTTTAATTTATTTTCTACCATTTTTCTTTCAATCCCCAATTCTTTTTTTATTATCTTTGCTAATTCTGCATACGCCCTTACTATAGCTTCTAGCAATCTTCTTCTAGAGATACTAATACCGCTTGCTGTAGTCAGTATCTTTTTGTTATCGCTTTTCTTTAAACTTCTTGAGCCTCTTGACTCAATCTTCCCATAATTATTATCTTTTTTCTTCATACTCTTTGAATCCTCCTGAATTCCTCCTATACTATCAACATTTCTTTGCTTGGTAGTAGTATTCTTTCTATTTTCTACGTCATCTTGTTCAGAAATACTTTGTTCTAGTTTCAGCTAGGACTTCCGTTTCTTTAATTTAATATAATTTTATTTAATAGACAGTTCCTTGGCTTTGTTCTTCACTAGTCTTTGTCTTATTCTCCCTTGGGTGTGTAGCACGGGTTGTCTTTTTTGCAGTACCCGTTTGCTTGTAACACTGTTGGCAGGTATTTATTTAATCATTGATGTGTCTTGGTTTACATATCTTTAACGTTCTGTTTACTAAGGTGTTAATTACTGTGAGCTTCTGTTTTGGATGATCGTTGGATCCGAATTGTAGGTATCGATCAGTGTGTGTCGTCTTTTTGTATACTCTGTGGCTTAGGTTATTGTCTTCTCGGCTTACTAACATATCTAGGAAAGAAATTTGTCGGTTTTCTTCTGTTTTATTGGTAAACTGGACCTTAGGATGAAAACTGTTGCAGGTCTTTTCTCCAGTGGCTGCAGATTGCAAATGTGTCACATCCGCCAATGTTTTGGTTATTTTTCAGCAATGCGAATAGCTTCTCTACAAATTTTTCCATGTACAAATTGGCCACAACTAAGCTGAGTGGACTGGCCATGGAAACTCTGTCAATTTGCTCATAGAATGTTTGATTCCACTGGAAATATGATGTGAGCTAGTGTCGGAGAAGATTGATGAGCTCTGAAAAAAATTCCCCTTTGTAGCTGACTACTTCTTCGAGTGGCACATTTGAGAATAAAGAGATGATGTTAAAGCTGACTAGGATATAGTTAGGTTCTAAGCTGATAAGTGTTTGATGAAGTGTGTAGAAGCTCGAACGTAGGTTTTTGTCTTGCCCATGTGTCTTTGCAGAATTTCCGCTAGATGTTTGTCCAGGTTGTAAGTTGGTGATCCTATGGCACTTGATGTTGGTCTTAGTGGTACATTATCTTTGTTAATTTAAGGTAATTCATATAGTCTTGGTAGTAGAGCTTTAGTAGTGCAGATCATCTGGGAATTATTAAAACGTGACATTTGTAACACTATTCAACAGTGTGGAAAATGTAAAAAAATTAAACACACTAACATCAAAGAACCTTTGATACTTCGTGAATTTCCTAAAGTCCCTTTTGAAAGAGTGGTCAGTGATATTTTGGATTAGGGTGGGCTCCTCTTATGGTGTTGCAATAGACTCCGTCTCCAAATGGTTAAAAGTTATTAAATTGGAAAGAAAGACATCACAAGCAGATAATATGCCTTATAATTCAAGAAAGTTTCAAGACTTCGCAAAGAAATTAAATTTTAAGTGTGTCACATCCAGCCCACACTATATCCGTTCAAACGGTATGAAAGAGAGGGCTGTGCAGTTATGGGAATGCCTTAAGATGAAATGCTCCCAAAGAACAGCTTTCAAAAGCAATATAAAGTAAGTATACCAAATACATTGAAGCGTGGACGGCAGGACCTCCTATTCATGCAGAATTCACCTGGTATTATACAGACGGCTCCAAAATCCATGACGGTTCAGGAGTAGGTATATAATATAGTACCAAGCCAAAGACAAGAATCTCACTGAGTTTAGGTAAACATGCGACAGTATTCCAGGCAGAAATAGCAGCAATACAAGAGGTATTAAGACAAAAGGTAAATGTCATAACCATTGTCATATACTCAAACAGTCAAGCGACCATGCAGGTACACTCAAAGCTTGTGTGAGAGTTTGGAAGCCCTAACAGAGCTGTGTTGTCAAAACAGACTAACTTTAGCCTGGGTACCAGGCCACAGAGGACATAAGGGCAATGAATAGGTTGATTTACTAGCCCGAGAAGGAGCCTCAAATGCCCTTATTGGCCAGAACCCTTCTGTGGTGTAACAAAAACAACTATCAGAACATGCACAAAGCAGTGGATGTTTAAAAAATCTCAGGAGTGGTGGAAAAACTCTCCAGGACAGAGATAGGCCAAAGAGTTCTTAAAAGGACCATCGCCTAAACTCACCGAGCATCTACTCAGCCTTAATAGAAAAAATACTAGAGTACTAGTAGCTTTATTAAAAGGGTATTGTAGGCTTAACAAACATATGTATAATATCGGTTTGACAGAAGAGACCTTGTGCCGATTCTGTCAGGAAGAGGAGGAAACGGCAGTACACGTATTGTGCTACTGCGAAGGTTTAGCAAGACTGAGATTCCTTAGGCTTGGAGAAGAAAAACCAAGGGCAACTAGCTATACCGAAGAACTACTTCCCAGTCTATAGAGTCTACTAAAAAAGACCGAATTAGACAAGGTACTCTAAACAACGATTCAAGGATATCCATAATAGATCTGAAAAGGTCGAGGTGGGGGAGGCCACATGGCCCACAGTCCTAAATAAATCTAAATCTAAAAATACCTTGTAATAATTAATTGGTGGTATATTATACAGAGTATTTCATTTAAAAAATTGAGAAAATTGCTCGGAATATCCTAACCTCGCACTTTGACATACCCTATACATAACATAGCAAATGAATGAAATCTATTTAAATTGTTTGACGATGTAGAAACTATCAAATGTACTACCTGAATGGTTTTTTGCTTTAAAAAAGTCAGCATCTCGTTTATGGACCACCCTGTACATTTAATAATACTTATTAAATATGGTCATGCAACTTTTATATTAAAAATGTCTTCGTATTTCCAATAATAAAACAGCTATCGATTAAGTACGTACTGATGGGCCACCCTGTATATGTGTTATTGACTAACATGTTTGTATCTTTGGATAGGTAAGTTTATAAGGAATTTTATGCCTAAATAATATAGAGGGTGTTGCATTTGAAAAAATTGAATATATTGAATGTGCCGCTGCAAGCTGAGCTCGATTAAATGGACTGTATATAAAACGATTGTGGAAATAATGTACCTACTTTATTATATTATACAAAACATGACAATCAACAATAAAAAAAAAAAGAACATAAAACTAAGACTTATATACATGGGTGGCGAAACTTTTATTTATAACTGCAGGCATCGAACATGGCCGCCCCCCTTGAAAGCTCCGCTTTCAAAAAATCAGTCTATCGGCAGTATACAAACTTTAACCAGCGAGCGTTTATAAATTTGTCCATTCGCAAGTCGAACTGACACAGCTTGTTCAGGATTAACCTTAAAACACATAATACTTGACCGAAGAATTCATTTGACTGTATTTTTACCATCAATGGGCCAGTAACGTAAACGTAAAAGAGATAACAAATTATGTGTGCCCAGGTGTAAATTTTTATGATGTTCGTGCTTGATAATAAGGTCCGTGAGTTTGTGAATTTTAGGTAAAATGACAGTATAATGGTTTTCCTCGCAGGAATTATACGTAGTTTTTCGGTGGATCTTAACGGTTGATAGTAAATCACCAAGATTTGACGGATTATTAAAAAATGGGAGTTTAACAATAAATTTTCCGTTTTCATTGCGTGTCGCCGTATTTTCGAAATATTTTTCGCAACGTTGTGCATCAGGTGAAAAAGAGATGATTCTGAGATTTTTCGATTTGCCAAAATTTTGTTAAAGATTTATCAAGTTGCTCATTAATTAATTCAGTCGAGGTTAACATACAAAAAGAGTGACAATTATTTGTTGGTTTAGGTAGGGATAAGGTACCAGTTAGTATCCAACCAAATACTATCTCTTGTAAATTTGGTAAGTTATTTCCCAATTTAATCCTACGCGTACCGAGTAATTCATAAAAAATATCTGCTGATAATAACATGTCGATAGGACGAGACTCGTTAAAACGTGTATCGGCTAGGTTTGTTGTATCAAAGCCTTGAGGAAAATTTAGGCTATTCGTAATGTTGTCGAGAATTGGAAATAACAGATGTCTTTGAAAGTTGTTATGACGCGATGTAACTGTCAGTTGTCTTTTGTGAAATGACTAATAGGCTTTGATTAACGCCGCTAATGCGAATATTTGCTTGCTCGCCCTGAATACCTAATTTGTTATTTGTTATTAAGTTGATTTGGCTGCCTGAGTTGAGCAAGGCACGACATAGATGATTGTTTATGTTTACCTGACTATCGCGAACAAACACTTCAGCAGTTGACAGCAGTACCAGTTGATTATCGAGAATGACATTTGGTTGATATCGAAAATGTGCTGTATGCATGATGGTTGATGACTGAGCTAATTGAATGAATGACGTATTGCGCGAAGTTTCATCTTGTGCTTGAGAAGAGCTTGGTTCTAATTGATCTTTCGAGGATGCCATGATATTCGTTGTGTGAACGTGAGTTTGCGTACGAGTATAGCCGTGAAGTAAAGTATTGTGACGTTGATTACATTTTTTACAGCTTCCAGATTTGCACTGCGCTAGGTTATGTCCTAATCTCAAGCAGTTGGTACAAAGCTGGAATTTTTTAACTTAGTTGTATTTATCAGAGTGAAAGATTTACGAATGTTGGGCATCGATATATTTATATACTGATTTTGATTACTAATCATACAGAGAGGAAGGTGCGTTATGGCGTAGTTTTGATAGCTGTGTTGATTTGATGAGAATGAGAAACGAGGTGGATTTATTGTATGTGATGTGGTCATAATTTGTGTTATTTTGGGGTGTGGTAATTGAAGGACGATATTACGTGGTTGGTTGATGTGTTACATTGTATACGCTTTCGTATGCTGAGTATTTTTTAACTTAGTTGTATTTATCAGAGAGTGAAAGATTTACGAATGTTGGGCATCGATATATTTATATACTGATTTTGATTACAAATCATACAGAGAGGAAGGTGCGTTATGGCGTAGTTTTAATAGCTGTGTTGATTTGATGAGAATGAGAAACGAGGTGGATTTATTGTATGTGATGTGGTCATGATTTGTGTTATTTTGGGGTGTGGTAATTGAAGGACGATATTGCGTGGTTGGTTGATGTGTTACATTGTATACGCTTTCGTATGCTGAGCATTTTTTAGTAAGAAAATTTCGAAATTTGTCATAGGTTGGTAACTCATTCGTGTCTAAGGAGCCTTCCCATTCGAGGCTTAATGTATATTCGAGTTTTGCTGCTAATATACAAATTAAAGATTCT